GCTCCAAATTCTACTGATACGTAATGCCATCATCCATGTGTTCAAATTCCGTTCGCTGTGTAAGCTGTATTGGAATACAACACGGCTTTGAATTAGAACACTAATGAATATTGAACACTACTTGATTACGCTTTTAATTAACAACTATTAAGTTTTTAATTAAGCAAATTTCAATTTTTGTACATAGCTTGGAACGATCTTCTAGATGGCCAAGACCTAGTGTTTTGGCAGTAGTTTGACATGCAAATGTATGGCGTCACCATTTCAACCATCAATGAACGCATGGAACTAAAACAAAGCTTAATATAAAGGAAAAACTAAAGAGGTGACGGAATTGCCCACAATGTTGGAATATACCGCGTTTACCCTATTCTTCCTATACAAACAGTTATTCACTATTTGGTAGAGCAAGGTCAACTGTCAAATGACACATTTTTTGATGATCTCACTGGGTAGCGTGCATTGTCTCTCTTTGGATCTCAATATTTTCCCGCTAGATGGCCAAGACCTAGTGTTTTGGCATTAGTTCAACGCACAAATGTATGACGTCACCATTTCAACCATCAACGAACGCATGGAACTCCAGGTTTGATAACGTGGCAAGAGTCGTTGGAATTTCAACGACTTTTTGTAAAGTTAACGACCATTTTTTGGTCATTACAACGACTCCAAACCTGGATTAATAGTCAATTTAAATATTTCAACGATATATAAGAAATTCTGTTCTGTTTTAATTTAAGGAAGACTATGAAGATTAAGTTTGAATAGTTGTTAACTTCTAGGATAAGGAATTAAGAGTTAGAGGAGCTTGGAAAGAGGAGACAGATTGTGCATCCAAGATTGCTGTATAATGTACAGCATAATATGTGCATTTTCTCTCTTGATTAACTTGATTTAATGCATGGAATGGGCCCCTAGTCCTGTTAATGCATGCTAATTCACTTCTTTGGTTGGACCCAACATTGCAAAGTCGTCTATGACGCATTATCACTTTGGCCTTATTGCTGGCCTTTAACCTTAACCTTATTACTAATAAACTTATTTACTAAATTACTGCTGAGTTGGGCCAACCTATTACTAACCATTGCACATTGTAACTAAATCAAACCTCTGAATGGCCTCTATGCCACTTCTAAATGGAGCCATCAGCAATAATTTAGAAGGTTGGTTAAATTGATATTTGATCGCAATCAACTATACGACTATATATGACATATTGTTCAATTAATAAGCCCATTGTATTGTACTGTAATTCAAGAAGTTCTTTTTGTTACGTTACAGTATAACGACTCGCATCACACGTCACCCATTCTGCGGGAACTTTGTCGTACTTAACGCCTCTTCTGTTTGCTGCTGCCGTATTTAGTGTCGCAACTTTGCAAGGTTAATACTGGGAATCAAGTTCACTGTCAAATCATATGCCGATAAATTGGAATACAGAATATGATCACATAAAGCATCCTTGAAACTAAGTTTATCAGTTAATCAGACTGTATTCTTTCTCTGGTTGCAGTTGCTCCACTACTTCATCAGTTCTCAATTCTTTTGCCTTCGAAAAACCTTCAAAGATTTATCCTGTGGATTCTCAAATAAAATTTATCAGCGATTATATTCGTGTAAATTCCTTACAGACTATGAATAATTTAATACACAATATTTTTAAAAAATAATACACTGACTGCTATCACTCATGCATTTTTTTGGTTTCAGATGCCAGTCACGCCACCGCTAGAAACAGAAATGTTCAAGGCAGCACCCGCCGATCATCAGTCACAAGTTTACAAAATTCTGGTTCGGTCTGTCCGCTGTCATATGTGTTCAAGCTTGGAAGAAAAATCCGACAGATGGCGCTGGTTGTTGACTTCTTTTCAAGTTGAAACTTGACTACAATAAAATTTTCTGTGTGCCTCTTTTGTAACCTTCATACCATTTGTACAAATGGAGGTAGTTTTCGCACAAAGGGCAAAATTAATCGCACAATTATAACCAATATCAACCGATCACAATGATATTCAGAGAAAAATTTAAACTATTACATTCGTAACATGCTGACCGTACGTAGCAAGTAATAAATTTCTAGACCTCAAACTTGAAGGCTTTAAGTCGATGTTCTATTCAAAATTTATTCCTTCCCTATAGTTTATAGCTCTTCTCATATGAATGAATGTCTAAAGATCAGCCATATAACTTGAGAATGCAGCGGTAATCGGAAAAAATATTGCGATCTTAACACATGCGAAAAAGCTTTAGTGAGTCCGTGTTCTTGAGTTTATTAAGATTTGCTAAGTAATTCGGAAGAATTTGTTGGCCACAGGAAATTCTTGCACATATTGCTGTGTGGCATGTGATTGGAGTCGAAATTATAAAATTTGTCTCAACCATGCCACGTAACCTGCTGCAAAAATGTTCGAAGTGTCATTTTGCTAGAAGCAAAGCACTAGCAAATGCTTTTAAATGATCAGTAAAAAGCTACGAAGTGCAATTTTTTTCAACCAGATAAGTAACAAGATCACGAAACCATGTTGACCAAACCAAATAAAGCAGCACCAGCATTGGAATGAAATGTGCAAGACGTGGGAATGCTAGCATCGCAGTATTGAGTCCCTTTTATTAAGGTCTGTGACTCGTGCCACACGCTCGGTTATACCAAACGCCCTGTGGTTCGGCTAAGACTTGTAAGTCACAGACCAGACTGAGCTAGCGTCTTCCAATTTTGTGTTTCGTATTGTGGAGTGAAACACAGTATGAATTCTCATAATTGACTGGGTCAAGGTCCGAAGGCCAGATTACGAACTTGAGTTACTTGACGTTGTAATATCCTAGGTTGGTGCTAATAATATTAATATGTAGCCAAATAATATTCTACAAAAAATCAACTACAGTTGCTAATTGATGATGATGCTTAAGGCAATAACATGGCTAATAATGTTGAGTCAGAGTTGATGGGTAACTCTGCTAAAATTCACTAGGCTAGCAACGTTCCTCAAAAATGAGTTACGGGGGTAACTGGAAGAAATATATATACAAGGTCGCTACAAATGTATTGTTTTGATATACGATTGAACATGGAAGTCATAAATTAATTCGTTCATTCATTATTAAAAATAAAGGTTTAATTTTACTGTATATATCAAGTTCTGCTTACAAGGAAAACATTTTCAAACATTTCTAACGCAACGATCGATTAATCCTTGTATTTCATTTTCCAAGAATTTTCAACCTGAAGATCAAGGCAACATTTGCAATTTATTTCATCGCCATCATCGGAAGATGCAAACCCATTCGATGCAACATGCTTAGCTTTGGATACGTGATTTTGAATTGGATATTCATTGTAACTTTGATTGTGCAAGAAGTGCCACTGGTTATGAAATTAAAATGAAATTAAAATAAAAATTCTTAGTTTTGTTATAGTAACTGTTGCACTTGCTGATAAGTTGGAAACTGGTCAATCTGGACCAGGACTGGACCCTAAACTAAAGTTAGCTGAACTTCTTGACTAAAGAAAGCCCTTTTAATAGCCAAAGAAGTTTGTCGTGGCTTGTTATACATTGCACAAGCTTCATTTGCCTATTCTGTGCTTCTTTTTAATTTCAAGTATTGCCGATTACTATAAGATATTGGAATGTGCTGCATTGATGTCTTTTATTTTATTGTCAGGTGCAGCTGACAACGCTAAAAATGAATAAATTCGATGCAATCTGCATAGGACAAAGAGTTGAAAATGAAACAAAATTAATATCTTAGTTTTTGTATTTAAAAATGAGTTCGCCATTCTGAGAAAGCTGTGCCCTCTGCATTTTAGGGATATCTTGCGTTTGATTACGCGCAATATTTACGTATCACTATTAGAAGCGGTCAACCGGTCATACGTCAGTGTTCAGGAGTAAAGAAGGCACGGTACCTGGTGTGAAGAAATTAAACCATTAATGCATTATAAGTGTCACGTGTGGTTTGTTCTTTGTTGCATATTAACAATCCAATGTACGTACAAAAACTTGAGGTTATCTACTAATCTTCTTATTAACAATGTTTTTTTCATTGTTAAGTGACCTGTGACCTAACTAGCTACTAAGAAACCTACCAACCAACGACTGGGAAACCTACCGACCAACGACTGGAAAACCTACCGACCAACGAGTGATATGTGAATTTTCAACGACCAGGTGACCCCTGAGATACTATTACAACAACTCTTATGCCACACTATGAAACCTGGATGGAACTAAAACAAAGCTTAATATAAAGGAAAAACTAGAGAGGTGACGGAATTACCCACGATGTCGGAATATACCACGTTTAACCTATAAGTTGGAAATGCAAACACAGCTTCTGCTTATATCTACAAGTTATAACCAACACTGTCAACACAAGAAATAAATCACATCAAATTCTTCTCATTTGAGTTTGAAAAATATTCAAACTCTTGAAAATTAGGTAGGCCTAATTCATGCAAAACAGTGGAGTGAAAATCAGCCCCAGATTTTGAAAATATATACCTACACATAATAGACTATATGGGCTCAGTTTTTCTTGTTTAAACTACATTATCATTTATATTTTATGGCAATATAGTAATTTATCCAAGACTCGTAGATACCTAAATAACAAAATTGCCGCAATATAGACTAGCTAGCTACGACCTACGAGCCTACGACACAATCCGACACATGAGAAACATGACCAAGACTGACGTGAGTTTCTGCACACTGCACAGCAATGAAATCGTCAGGCGCCAGCAATAATTTAACTATAGCAATAGTTAAACTGTGACGAAAATATACGCGTTTCGGGTAACGACTAAAATTTCGAGGTCCGACGAATCGTAGTTCGAGGTCGTGTCACCGTTTATTTACACTTTTTTTACCCAGAAAATCCACCATTAGACTCAGATCAATACAACACAGATCTCAGGCTTCGCAGCCGCTGTCATAACACAGTAAAGAAGCCAACTTAGCAGATAACATCGAAGAAGAAATTAAACTCATATGAAACCTTACCGCTGAATCATGTTTTATGTGCTTTTATTGGTTTCATTTGATAAATGTACGAACGCACGAGTTGGCATATGAGCAAATAAACAATTCGTCGGATGCAAATAACGCTGAAATTCCAAATTTGCTCACCAGATGGCAGTTTCTAAGGAAAAAGGGACCATACCAGCCGGAATTGCAGGGTAGACTTTTAACAATAACAAAAAATTAACTTTGCATTCATAATTGTAGCATCAACTCTGTTTTCTGGAGTATTTTCAAAGTATTTTTGTATTACATTCCGCATTTATGTATCTATCAAACATAATATAATTATCATTGAGTCTCTGAACAAGTTTCTATGAGTACATAGTTTGTTTCATTTATGCTGATGAAAAAATCATGGTCAATATTTAACGAGTTTTCATCAGATTGCATTGTGTTCGTGCACGATATTATGCATAGGAGCAAAAGGCAAATTTTTCCACCTTAAATGCGTATGACTTGTCTGTCGTGCAACGCGATGTCGAAATGAACTGTTATGAGAAAAGAAATAATTAGTTTTGGGAAGATTTTGTTGGAACCATTTGATTGTTTAAATGAGGTTTAGGCTAGAAACTTCAGTACGTCATAAGGAGCTAGTAAATGCCTAGCTCCTTTAACAGCCTCCCCAATGACATCGTTGGCGCTCCAAGTATGAACGCGTTCAAGAATAGACTAGATAAAGCTATGGAAAAATATATGTTCAGATTTGAAATGCCTAGCTCCTTATCGAACCCGGTGGAAGTCTAGTAGCTACTTCAAACTATCGTCAGTCATGAAAAGATCCGGTCAAATGACACGAGTTTAGATCTATGAACAAGGCACGAAAAGGAAATAATCGGCGACAGGCCACATCAGGCCTACACTTCAGCGTCGACATCACTATGTTATGTTATGTTATTTCACGAGTTCGTTGTTGCACCGTGCTAAAGATGTTATTGTTTTGTGAAATCAAAGCTTTTCTTACATATCTTCTGTGGGCTTAGCCTCCCCTCTCAAACCTAGTAACGCCACTAGAGCTCATCGAGACCCGCGGCTACCATGGTTGAACTAGTATACCCTCCATGAGCGGCTACGGTCTCGGCATCTTCGCCTCTCTCCCTTCGTCGAGTTTATATTCGATTATAAGTATTAAATTTACTAGATTGCTTAAATCGCAAGTTTATCAGGAATTTAGAAGCAATGGAAAACGGCCACAATACTAACCATTTCTTAAGAATGAAAACGTTTCGTCAAACGTTCAAAATTAAATAGAATCAAAACATTATTAAATCGTGACTTCCGTATTTGTTCAACTTTCAATGCTATGCACACTGAATTTGTAAGTTCGCAGCATCTTTTCATTAAATTGGTTTCCGTCGCAATTGGTTTATACTCAAATTAGGAAATTCATGTCTAGGCAATATAATGAAGTTGTTCCCGATTGTGACGGTATGAACCTGATTTTTTGTTCTTTTCCCTACTTCGGTAAAGCAGCTGAGACTATGGCTAAGGAATTGAAAGTTTTTATCAATAAATATCTTCCGAATGTAAATCTGCAAGTTATATTGTGAATAACTTCAAAATCGGCCCGTTCTTCCAAGTATAAAGATGCTCTCCCTCTTTTTACGCGTTCGTCCCTAGTATATAGTTACAGTTGTGCGCAGTGCGCATCAGCTTGCGTCCGTATGACTTCTAGCAATTTTTACAGTAGGCTGGCGGAGCGTAAGGGCAGAAGTTTTAGAACGGGAACATTACTTGCGCATCCTCCTCATTCAGCTGTGCGCGTCCATGCCGTGCAGTGCAATGTTCCAGTGTCCGATAGTGATTTTAGAGTTCTAGCTTACACGACCGGTGTTGTTGATCTACGGATTTTAGAATCCCTGTACATTTTTAAACAGAAACCTAGTTTAAATGCAGCCTTCAGCTCCCATGGTTGAATTAATACTAATTCAACCATCTTCAGCTCCTATCCCCTTGAAATTGTTATTAGATAGGCCTGTCACCTTATGTGTATTTGTTTTTTATTATGTCAATTTACGTTTTTATCTTTTTCATCTTTGATATGAATTATTTTTCTAATTGTTTCTGCTCTTCTTATAGGTTTTGAACTTTTGAACTGACGATGGAGCTAGACTCCGAAACGTTTTCTTTCTTAAGAAATAGTTAATATTCTGGCAGTTTTCTTAGCTTTTATATTCGATCATTTTTATAACTATTCTTATCATTATAGTTAACAAATTGTTCGTATACGATTTTTATGTGGTTACCGTAATATTAGTCGAAATATTGTAACGGCTCATCATATCAACGCACAACACTGATAAGCACGTGCCTTTTCCAGAAATTTAGTCATTAGTGGAGTTACTTTTAGTGCAATATTCGAAGCTACTTTGTGTCTCGGCCTCTGAACCGGACGTATGTCAGAACGTTATCGCCAGATGCGATGTGGAGTGGTTGGGAGCATATAATTTTTCCCATTTTCACTGAAATAGCAGCAATATCGGCCATCCGAAATGGTGGAAGATCTGATTTGGCATGCATGACGGAGGACAGTTTTGCCCAACTCCAAACTTCAGTTCATATTTCTTTCCATGGGTTAAGCACGCCAGAAGCCATAGCGGCTTTTGAAGTCAAATGCTTCAGCAGTCATAACACCGTATGTCCACAGCCACCGCTTAAGCATGCAAAGTTAATCAAGCTCATGCAGCTTCTGTTCTAATCTACTCCGTCCTAACTTCTTCTGGCCTAACCTACTCACTTCGTAAAATTTCTCTACCCAAACCAAACCTGAGCGGAAATATTCCTCATACAAGAGAGAAGAGACCAGTGTCAACACTTAGCCTGACCAAGAGGCAACCCATGCTTCATCTTGTAAATAAATGGTTTATTCAAGACATAAAATCACTTCCTAATCGTTTCGAAGCATCAACAAAATCATATGGAAATTAAATAGTGCATTTGACCTCCAAAAACAACTTTACACCAAAAGGGTAATAAAAAATGTACGAATTAAGTTTATAAACGGGAGTAAATAATGGATGCCTTCTTGAACATCATCATTATGATTTCCACTACCCTGAGCACAAGTAAAAAACGATATTTCATGTCCTTAAATCAGTAGAGTTGTATTCAAATAGAATCCGTAGGTAATTATTTAGTCAATATAAGGTTATTAACGCCGTTTGCTATAAACAAGTTTTTGGCACGCGACGATCACCTCTATACCTATGTCGCCGAATATTTATTGGCATATACAAACTAGGCATTCAGTTTCGTCTGTGTTCATACTATTCGCAAGGATAAATTCGTTACTTAGATTGCATTTAGCTTAAATAAATGCTGGATACCATAAAGGAACTTGTGCTGGTAAAATAATATGTAATATGTCTGCAACGTTTAGCGCATCCAGCGCGCACGATGCGTGCGTAAAACATGCAGTACGCACGGTGCTTGCTTTCAGTTTGAATGCAGTTCAACGTTCATTGCGCAGGGTATCAGTGACTGAATACAGCGCAATAAGGTTCGCACTTCACTGAAACAAACAGCTTTTCATAGTTCTTGATAAATTCGAACATAAATCTCCATTCCAAGCCTGAAAAACATCATGGTTGACATCGACGAACATGTCCTTTTTGTTATAGCATGCTGTACTTCGCCCGTCACTTGATACCATGTACATATAGTATTGCCAATACTCGAATTTATACGACACTTGGACACTCGCGTACTCAGAACTTGCTGAAGCCATCGTATAAGCTCTATAAACCGTTTGCAAGTGCCGCTTTTGGTTTACGTGCTCTATGTACAATAAAAATCAACTTATGAAGTATGACTAAACTTTAACAAATGACACTTAACGAACTACGGACTCAATACACATTCAAGGTTGAACGTGGAACCAGTACTCATAGGCTTGAAGCGTGATTCTCTATTTAGAAATCCCTCACCCCATCTTCGACACCTCAATACAAAGGGCTCGAACAGTTCGTACTAGTATAATATTAAGTGTGAAGCCGAAATCGTAAAGCATTTTTGACTCTGAATTAACTTCGGTCAAACGAGTCATTAAGTTACCAGCGTCAGCTTGCAGCCGTTCATCCCACAAGACTCCACACGTTGCTAGGCCTTCAGATGCAGAGGGCGTAGAGAACGACCAGACGGAGGATCAAACTTGCAGCAATGCCACCTCACAGAGGCGAACGAAAACATGCCGTCATGCACCGAGCGCTGAGCCTTAAACACCGTAGCAGCGCCCTCTACACGCTATGTGCAGGGAGGTCGCAGGTGCAGTCGTGGTCGGCAGGCGCTCGTTGGCGACGCTGCTTGAAGCGCTGTACGCACGGTGTGAAGAAGAGCATCACGCCAGACGCGGCAATCATGGCACCCGCCAGCAGGAACGTGTTGTTGTAGTTCTGGGAGAGGTCGAAGAGCGACCCTGTGGCGAGACCGGGAGTGTTATGAGGGAAGTTGAAGGCGATACTATGACATGTACCCTGTGGCGCGACCAGGAGTGTTATGAGGGAAGTCGAAGGCGATACTATGACATGTGAACAAGGAGTGTTATGACGGTGAGCGAGCCTGAAGGCGATACTATGACATGTGAACAATCTCATTATAGATCGTGCGTGCATGGACCGCATGAAATTAGGGCCGACAAGCATCTGTAGGTGTCTTACAACACACGAGTGTGACAAGTCATAATCCATAAGAATATTCTATATTTGAAATGTATTTATTGGGCTACATCTCACCACACATAGGTGGACATCTCACCATATATGGGCGGCCCCACGACGGCCGCGATGCCCTGGTACATGAGGACTCACCGCACATGGGCGGCCCCACGACGGCCGCGATGCCTTGGAACATGAGGACTTACCGCACATGGGCGGGCCCACGACGGCCGCGATGCCCTGGAACATGAGGACTTACCGCACATGGGCGGGCCCACGACGGCCGCGATGCCCTGGAACATGAGGACGAGACCGAAGGCGTTCGTTAACTTCTCCATGCCGAGGAGGTCAACGAGGACGACGGACGTGAGGCCGACGTAGGCGCCCGACGTGCCGCCGAACATGACGGCGTAGAAGCACTGCCCCCCGAAGCTGTTCATCCAGATGCTCAAGCACGTCGCTGTAAAATTGTTGCCAGCATTCATCATTAGAATCACGGATGGTAAATGTTGATTTCTACCTACAATCTACTGTTTCAAATCATCGTCTTTACATATACCACAAAAGTGAGCATGCAGTTACCTAGACCGCAGATGGTGAGCATGCAGTTACCTAGACCCCAGATGGTGAGAATGCAGTTACCTAGACCCCAGATGATGAGAATGCAGTTACCTAGACCCCAGATGGTGAGCATGCAGTTACCTAGACCGCAGATGGTGAGGGCGGAGTTGTAGACGTAGAGTCTGTTCACCCAGGGCCTGTCTGCAACATAGCCCAGCACGACCCTGCTGACGGTGTTCGAGATGCCCACCACTGCCAGCAGCGTCGCTGTCTTCTCAGCCACGATCCCGATTTCCAGCGCCCGATCCTGAAGCATGGCTCTTAGAATAAGGAAGGCTATTGCAAGAGAAAACTTTCTAGTGAAGACTAAATTTGTTTAGTCGAGGTATTCCAAGCCAATGAAAAGCACAAATATAGCAAATAAGCGTGTTTTACGATGGTCATGTAAAAAGTTCGTATTCTTTAGGCAAAAAACACGAGATAGAAGAGGTCAATAGGTGCAGGCGAGAAAAGAAATAATTAGTTTTGGGAAGATTTTGTTGGAACCATTTGATTGTTTAAATGAGGTTTAGGCTAGAAACTTCAGTACGTCATTAGAAACTATCATCGTAATTTCGAAAGCGTTTATGTGGTGTGGGTGAGAAAGTCGAGACTTGGAATTGCTGCATCACCACTCAAGAGATACAACACCATACAATTGATGCACACTGCATCACAAATGATGATGGCGGTCACGCACCACAATGAAGATGTAGGGCGCATAGAAGCCTATGGAGGTGAGGAAGTTTGAGGCAGCGAAGAGCAGGAAGACAGGGTCAGCCAGCAGCCCCAGGTCCGTGAGGTCCGACAGCGCTGAACAAGCCTCCTCCGAGCACGGCACGCACCCGCATGCCTACCACGTCAAAATTATTCATTGCCTCGAAATTCGGTTCATCAAGCAACGCATTGGTAGTGAAGTCTCATATATTGATTTATCAAGTGCATAATCACTTGAATGTAGATTACTTTAGTCGAACAATAATTTATTATCAAAGAAGTAATTGACAGCAGAAGTATTTCATAAGCAACTGAGAATGCGATATCAGCCATCACCAGACCTTGCGCTGCTGCTTCTGAACGACGCATTCCACGTCGTGGTGTCGCACCACAGACTCGCGGTAGCACTGCGGGTCTTGCCTGTTCATATCAAATGAGGTTAACTTATGCACTGATTTGAGAATATGAAGGTATGAAGAGGGGAATATGCAATACATGTGCATTTGACTGGAAAATGAGGAGCGCATGATATGGGCGAAAGTTTTGACGATACTATTTTTTTTCCATCGACACATCAAAATATATCCAGAAAATATACAAACAAGAGTTGCAAATAAAAATCTTTAAAGCGGAATATTTTTGATAGAATCGGATTCAAATGTGGTCGAGTTGGTCGAATTGAGGTCGCTTAATTATATATTAGACGATCGAAGCATAGCAAGCGTAAACTGTATAAGTACAGACAAGTATGCAGACAAGTACACGTCATATAAGTAGAGCAAACGTGTACAGACAAGAGTGCTATAGATCCCTCACTTGTACTCGGGAATGTTATACAAGGAGCCTCTGTAGAAGATATCCTTCCTGTCGAGGATGTGGGACTGGGCGCTGAGTGGCCTGCTGGCGGCACTCCGGTCTGGGATGCGGTCCCCAGCTTCCACCTCAGCAAACACTGCACAAGCCACGCCCTCATCATAGGTTGCAGTCATAAAGCAAAATTAAATTATTAAATTTAAGATATTGAAATTATTGACCATGTGTATCTATTTCTTACAGCGCCAAGCTCAGCAATAAATGGAGATTTAAAACTCTTCATTTATTAATTATGGACTGCGTAACCACAAATCAGAATCATCAAATTATTTAATGGAAAATTAGACTGCAAGAGACTATTGAAGCATATATATGCTTTGTGAATACATAGAAGTAAGTTCAGATACATGACCGCAGCGTGAACAACCATAACTCGTTGCTCTGATATAAAAACAAAATTATCAAGTCTTTTAATTGTATATAAACTATCCAGTACACTATCGAAGCGGAAACGGTCGTTGATTAGCAAATTTTTTTAAATAGAATATCTAAAAATTAGGACTTCATTTGAAATTTCAACATTTTTGAAATTTTAACATTTTTAAGTATTTAAATTGGCTTCCTACTCTTCGAAATGACGGGACAGAACACAGAACTCCAAACAAACTTCAAATTTTTGAACCCATCGCAGTCGATCAGAGCGCCGAGTTATAGGACTGCCTCAATGACTCGATGGTCGGGNAGCAGGAACAGAGGCAGCCGTGGGACTTACAGGGCTGAGACACGGTCATCCTGAGCGCCTCGGACTGCCTCAGGGACTGGATGGTAGGGTTGAGGCAGCCGTGGGACTTGATACGCATCATGTCGGCCTCGTCGTTGGGTACGGAGAAGGGACGAAGAAGCTTCGAATTTCGTCGTCGGAAGCCTAAGATTTTTTGCGCTAAGCTGACGTTACTTGGTGACTCCGGTAGGGCTTCGAGCGTCTGCGATACCTGAGGACACAAAATTCAACGCTGGACTACACAATTATTGGATATAGAACGTAATTTTAGGGCACCGGGTACCATCAGCTGGGGTAAGATTGACCCTTGAGCGTAACCTTGACACGAATGCAGAAGGAGTTGTGTGGTGCTGTAGACTGTAGAGTGATACTGTGATGAGAGGTGCTATATATCCAGTGATGCATGAACTATGTCGATAAAACATATGATCACACTTAAATATAACAAAACTTTTTCTAAGTCAGGGTCAATTTCACACTCGAGGACCAAATGAAATAAACGTAGTATATTTTGTTCAATCGTTGATATTTAACAGTTAATAATTTTATTCCCAGGCGTGGCATAGAAGTCACTTTATGCACGAGACAACTGATGATATAATATTAATGCTCATCATTTGGATACTCCACCATTAACATTCCATTATCATTACAGTGTGTCATTGTTATCACAGTTACAATCACTTCCTAAAATACAATTACTTTCCCCAATAATTAATTAATATTGGTGAGCACGGAGACCGACCTGCAGCTTGGGCAGGAGGGGGCGCGAGGTGGCGTCGGGGGCACTGGGCGCCGGCACAGGTCTAGGGGCGACAGATGAAGGTTATGATATCGTAAATAACTTCTGAGTCTACGCAATCTACCAGTTGATCTTACGTACTTCTGCCCTATCGTAAATAAGTTTTGATTTCATTCAATTTTTACATTATCGTAAATAAGTTTTTATTTCGATAAACTTCGACCTTAACGTAACAGTTGATCATACGTAATTGTACAATTCAACTAAAGAAACTCTTTAAGCACAAGTTTGTAGCAACAAATCAACTTGCAACTAAAGGAGGAAGTTTTAATCTGTATATAATTAAAGCTTAAGTATGTTTCAACTGTCATTTCAACGCAGTATTTTGTATCTTATTGTATAAATTATACACATTCTGTTGCGAAGAGTTCTCGCTGTCAGTGAGAATATTAGAGACACAAACATCGCTTGAATAACACGAGTGTCTAGAAGCTGCTGCTCGTATCTATTGTATGCTTCAGACGGTCGATGTTATTTGCTCGTTAGTGGGTGGTAAGCCTATAGCATTATGATATAGGTACATGGAGCGAGGGTATAACAATACCTAACGTTGAATCATAAGGCATTTCAAAATTGAAATACGATTCTACTATCGAATTTAAACGCTTTTTCTATTGAATGATGTGTCCGAGAAAACTAATCCTGACTTATTCATCAGGCTTTAATATCGCAGTCGCACGGCCACTGCGTGTCATTCATACTCTTGCAGCCTTCCGATGTGATATGGTGAATAAAAGTGTTATGGATTATTCACTTTTGACCAAACTGACTTGCACTCTGAACCATTTCAGGAGAAAATTACAGAGAATCACTTTGTCATTCCGCAGTGCATAAAAATGCTGAATAATTTGGTTCGACAGTGGTACGGCTGTCAGCCGACCGACCCTCAATAAAATAATTATGTCCTTCGCCGGGCACTTTCGTCAACTGTCCCTTTAATGAGCAAGCAACATGCAGACCATTGTTACAGGCCAGTAACCTGTTCGAGGCTGTGTTACAGAGGTGACAGTCACATGCNGAGCACACATGTCAAGCTAAAAGAGCACACACGTCAAGCTACAAGAGCACCCACGTCAAGCAACACCTCCTCCACCACAAGGACGTGGTGGTTAAGCACATACCTGCGTCGCGGGTAGTTGTCTTCTAGTGGCCGGAAGAAGGCACCGAATACGATGCAGTTCAGCATTAGCCCCGAGATGATGACCAATGCACCCTTCCAGTTGTACGTCACGATCTGCGCATAGAACGCTACTATCAAACTACCAATCACAAATTTGACTATTCTTTTTCAATTGCGGAACGATTAAAATACAGCAAAACGTTACCAACTTAAAGTACTCAGCGACATAGACCAGGATCTTTACGAGTCTTCAGTTTATTCACGCTTAAGCTAAACAAATTTTCCAAATCAGATCCTCACTAAACTGTATAAATAGCAGCTATTTCAATGCCAAATTTGAAATTCCACGGTCCAACCGTTCGTGACCGCCATTGGCAATTGCGTTGCGGTTAAAGAGATGCGTCAGGTTTAGAAGCCGAGAGAAAAGGGACCAGCTTCGAATATTGCTATAGAAGTAACCCCTACAAATAACTATATATTCAAGCAGAATGCATAGATATCAATATTATTCGTCAATATGTTGGAATGTTGCAATACATTAACTAACAAAACGAGAAAGAAATAAAAACAATGGCATATGCAGTATTATGATTGAGCACTTGAACAACATGATGACCAAAAAATATAATGCAATTAAGATTACAATTGTAAAAAATATAAAAATAATCAATACTTATTATAAATAATATAATTAATTATCAAATAACACTGGATATGGTCAATGGTAGCACAGACCAAGTACTCGACGAGGGGCGAGAAGACGAAGGTGCCGAGGCCGGAGCCACAGACGGCGATGCCGGTGGCGAAGGATCTTTTCTTCTCGAAGTATTGCGTCACGCACACGATGGCCGGCAGGTAGATGAGACCGAAGCCAAGACCTGCAATAACATGCTTGTGTATTCGAAGCGTCTACTCCTGCTACTTGAGTTAAACGAAGAAACTATAGAAGATGAAATACAGTAGTACACGCAGGCCAAGACCTGCAATAACATGCTTGTGTATGCGAAGCGCCTAGCTCTGCTAGTTGAGTAAAACGAAAAAACTACAGAAGATGAACTACAGTAGTATACGCAGGCTAAGACCTGCAATAACATGCTTGTGTATGCGAAGCGCCTAGCTCTGCTAGTTGAGTAAAACGAAGAAACTGCAGAAGATGAAATAGTATAGCGGTGACAGCGTGGTAATTGGGCAGTTTGACCTGTCGCCGATTCTTAACATCGCAGAACATTCACAGCTTGTTGCAGGTCACGCAACTCACTGTTTCAATCCTGGTACTTGAACTCTTACCACTGGACCACCAGTAGAGCATGTACTTACCGGCACCGATGCCGATGGTGAAGTAGAGCGTGTAGACTCACCAGCACCGATGCCGATGATGAAGTAGAGCGTGTAGACTCACCAGCACCGATGCCGATGATGAAGTAGAGCGTGTACTCACCAGCACCGATGCCGATGATGAAGTAGAGCGTGTAGACTCACCAGCACCGATGCCGATGATGAAGTAGAGCGTGTACTCACCCGCACCGATGCCGATGGTGAAGTAGAGCGTATAGATGTTGGTAGCAAAGATAGACACAAATAGCATGATGCTGGCAAGGACAGCTCCCATGATGGTCACGACGCGGCATCCGAACTTGTTCACCAGAGCACCGGAGATTGGGCCTGCATCGATCAAGGTTACTGATATTATTTTATATTACATTGAAAGCTTAATAAAAACTAAATATTATTTATTAGATGTTAGTTTACTTGACGTCGTGCATGTCGAGTTAGGCGGAGCAGTGGCACAAGCACGACATAGCCTCATGCAAAATACTTCACTATAAACTGCTCCGCCGATATAGTGATAGAAGCAATGTAATATGTAACGTACAATGTAATTCACTCTAATAAAAATAAGAGTAACACTACTGAAGCTCACATTATTCCATGGTGGCTCCCACAAACCCTCATGAACTGTACATTACAAGCCCGCATACTTCACTGTAAAATGTTACACAGTGAATTGCTGATGAAAACATTGAAAAAAACCACAGTAATGCTGATGACAAAAAAAACGAGAAATTGCCCACCTAAACCTATGACTTCGATAAGCCCTGATGCAATATACTTCACTATGAACTGCTACTGCGAGGCAACATATCCCAGTATTACTGTTGACAGTGACACTATGTATGCTCACCTGAACCCATGGTGACTTCGAAAAGCCGTCATGCAATATACTTCACTATGAACTGCAACAGCGAGGCAACACATCCCAGTATTACTGATGACAGTGACACTATGTATGCCCACCTGAACCCATGGTGACGCCCACGAGTATGGAGACGATCCATGCGGCGGAGGCCTTGGTGGCAGAGTAGTAGCTCAGCAGGTACACGTAGAAGATGCCCAGCGTGTAGGTGAAGCCGTCCGCTGCAACATACACGCGCTTAGTCTTAGTGTGACACGCGCACACGTCGTGACGCATGCTTAGTGAGGCGCGCACGCAGGCTTAGTGACCACACTTAGTGACGCGCACTCTCGTTTAGTGACCAGCACAGTGTGACAGTGCAGTGTGCGTGGTATATGCACGGTGTTACGTGACGACATGAGAGTCGCGATATCGCTCGTCTCTTTATCAATAAATCAAGATCATGAACGATTTAAACGTACAAGCGCGCCATCGATTTAGGACCGAATTCAAATGTTAGATTATTTCGCAGAATGAAAGAGGCAAGCAAACATTTTACTGTTACATTGAAAGGATCCCAATACATAGGCCTGCCACACAGTACAGCTCTTTATAGTCTCATTGATTATGGAATGTGTTTACAGTTTATCCATGCATACGTAGAGCCTTCGAAGACTACAGGCATGAATCATTCATAAAACGCTCTAGCTTGTTTATCTAATACAGTCGGACAAGAAGCATGCAAACTCCTCGTTCATTCTTAAAGAACGACGGTAGAACAGCTTGCCTCATGGAGCACAAAGAATCATGACGATGAAGTTATGGCCAGAAATAGAATTCATAATTTAGCACACAACAAGATAAAACACTTATCATAAAGGAAGATAACTGCTTGGAAAATGTCCATTTGCAAGATGTGTATAAGAGACAGGATATAGGTTCCAGGCTTNCAGCGAGCAGGGCGTGTTGAACTAACAGCGAGCAGGGCGTGTTGAACTAACAGCGAGCAGGGCGTGTTGAACTAACAGCGAGCAGGGCGTGTTGAACTAACAGCGAGCAGGGCGTGTTGAACTAACAGCGAGCAGGGCGTGTTGAACTAACAGCGAGCAGGGCGTGTTGAACTAACAGCGAGCAGGGCGTGTTGAACTAACAGCGAGCAGGGCGTGTTGAACTAACAGCGAGCAGGGCGTGTTGAACTAACAGCGAGCAGGGCGTGTTGAACTAACAGCGAGCAGGGCGTGTTGAACTAACAGCGAGCAGGGCGTGTTGAACTAACAGCGAGCAGGGCGTGTTGAACTAACAGCGAGCAGGGCGTGTTGAACTAACAGCGAGCAGGGCGTGTTGAACTAACAGCGAGCAGGGCGTGTTGAACTAACAGCGAGCAGGGCGTGTTGAACTAACAGCGAGCAGGACGTGTTGAACTAACAGCGAGCAGGGCGTGTTGAACTAACAGCGAGCAGGGCGTGTTGAACTAACTGTGAGTAGGTCGTGTTCAACTAACTGTGAGCAGGTCGTGTTCAACTAACTCTGAGCAGGTCGTGTTGAACTAACGGCAAGCAGATCGTGTTCAACTAACTGTGAGCAGGTCGTGTTGAACTAACTGTGAGCAGGGCGTGTTCAACTAACGGCCGGTGAGCAGGTCGTGTTCAACTAACTGTGAGCAGGTCGTGTTCAACTAACGGCCGGTGAGCAGGTCGTGTTCAACTAACGGTCGGTGAGCAGGTCGTGTTAATATAATAAATAAATTATATGTTTTCGTCCACAGGTCGTGTTCAACTAACGGTCGGTGAGCAGGTCGTGTTAATATAATAAATAAATTATATGTTTTCGTCCATGTTTAAAAAATATATAACTAAATTATTTAAGAAATGAATGAAAAAATATAAGAACTGCAAAACTATTTTAAAACCTGATTTATACGTGGAAAAGTTTTACATCACTAACCATAAAACCAAAGAAGATTGGAGTGACGAAATCATATCAATATGAGAAAATTTCTGTGTGTGTCTTGTTACTTGTCAGTTTGTATTACGTTATTCTGATTTATTAACTAAAGTGTAAAAAATGCACAGAAGCAGTCCCTATCCAAGATGCAGTGCATCGATACGAGCGAAGTAGAGCATAGAATAATTCTAATAATCTTCGCTTTTACGCCAACAAGGAAATGTGAAAGGAGAATGAGGTAGCTAAATATTAACACGATCCTTTCGTAAAACGTACACGAGGAAAATCCCAGCTGAATATTCACGCATGAACTATTATTGCCTTCATTTTTGGAGAGCTATGAGAATGAGTGATAAAAGCTACCGTTCCACAGCTGCGGTTTGTCCAGCTATAGTGCCAACAAATGAGGGGATTCGCTGCTATTTACTCGGGCACGGTATATATTAAACCAACAATTAAATTAAGCAGCTTCAGTTTTTACAGAACTTGCATGAACAAGTAAATAATGAAGCGACCATAATAAATCAAAGTAGAAGCCGTTCCCCAGATGCTGCACAAACAAGGAAATGAGCTGGCTGCAGCTCAACAACTAATGCATTGACAAGCAAGTAACGTAGCAGCTATTGCATTTGGCTATTGTCCCAATATATTTAACAGTAAGCAATTTATTCCTAGAATTGGACAAACGAGGAAGTAATGTTGTAGCAATTTCAATTAGCTATTGCTTCAGCAAGATAGATTTAGCAGCTTTTTTACAGTCCATACAACCTCATTAGTCGCCCTCGGTTGCAAATTAGGACGTCTTATCTCACGACCAGAGTGATTCACTTGAATACAAGAGCTTGCACTCGTCTACCGCCGACTGGTGCTATTGACAAAAAAACGTCATCACGTAAGGTACATTACTATATTCTATATCTATGTAATAAACGTTGCCTTCACGTCAGAAACGTACTACTCGGCAACAAACGTTGCCGTCACGTCAGGAACGTAACTAGGTGACGTGGTCGGCAACAAACGTTCGAGGTTCAAGTGAGACGCAGAGCGTTCGAGCGCGCTCCGATGATGACGTCACCGCATGACCGGATCGATGAGATAGCGCCGCGCTGCAGTTCACTGCAGCCGAGACTACAGCTGTTTAATCATCCCCACTTACCACACAAAAGGCGAACAAAACCAATAAATTGTCCATTTAAAATTCATATTTGCTATTGGCCACTTTAATCCCTTTTGAAATATGTGATACAATACACATGTGACGTCAGACTGAGGAAACGGATAATACTGGTCGAGAGCGTGTGTGATGCGGGAGTGGAGTGAGAGCTTGGCAACTGTCGAGACGGTTGACGAAGCGCAGGTGAGGCGAGTAACGAAGACTGATTGCATAACGACGAGGAACGCGTTTGTTATCGCGGGTGTAAACAGAATGAGAGTACAGTGTCGGCATGAGTAAACGCAGCAGCTACATGCCCAGTAGCGTGCAGCGAGGCTAGCATTAGTATACTCTTCAAAGGAAACGTCGTCGCGCAAACCAATAAGCCCTGAGCTATGAGTTATTAGGTCAATGATAGCTTGCGTCGACACATTACGGTGTTGGAAATACTGCAGGCGTCCGATTGTTGCGTCAATTGTGAAAGGTTAGGAACCGGAAAGGCTGTGCATATCATCAGTTTATTATTTGGGTTAAAACATCACTGTTCGATATCAAACTTGTGCTTTCGCTGTGATATATTTTTGTTTAGCACGGTTTTGGAGTATTATTATTCAAATATCCGTACCAAATTGCTAATACTATTTTTTGATAGCTCTGCATTTTCAACAGATTGCGTCGGCCATTAAAACAGAGTACGGAGAAAATGTATTGCGTGTTTGGCTTAATTGAACGCTTTTTTGTACGCAGGCAGATTGGTCATACGGAGCGTGAGAAATTATTTCATTATATACATTTCATATGCATTTTATCGTCACTTGCTACTCAGTAGAGCAAATAAATGAAAAGCGATCATATGAAAAGATGTCAATAAAAAAACATCATGAGTTTTTTTTAATTCATAGATTTGAAAAATTTATTCATTTTAAACAATTACAGGTGGATTTACTCTCCATTTGCAAAAACACATTTTATATAAAAATATGACCAATGAATATGAGTTCTTACAAGGTGTAATTTCCCTCTTTCAATTAGCTGCAGAGCTGAAAGTTTACCTATTCTCAAGTGGGTACTTGGGTACATGTTGATTTCTGACAGAAGTGTCTTCAGAGATAAGAACATCTATAGACCATCACTTGAGGAGATAAGGAAGCTTCGTGCGCCGGAGCCTTGGCCGAGGCGTACGCTGCACCGATCGATATCGCTGCTCGACGGCCTGCGTAACTTACGCGTCGCGACTCACGGCAGCTACGCACATTTCAATACGAACTCGTTGTGTGGTTAGTCTAATTGATTGGTATTTTCAGGGAGCGTAATGTTACCCAAAACAACGTTTACTGTCAACAGTTGAGTACAGTGTTCATACACAGCACCCAGTGCCTCACGACAGGCGCTAATCTTACTTTAAAGAAAAATGATCAATAATATTTTACATAAACATAAATTCAAGTTTGGATTATATATGACAGGCGATCAGAGTATAGCTTGGGATCGATTAAATGATCCTTTTACCATCATAATTTCATCTTCAAATAGTCTTTCCTGCTATTACAATAATTCGCGAACTAATCATAAGTCACTTCGAGAGAGATCTGTCAAAATTCTTATTAAACAAGTGACCACCCTTTAACCCGGATTTAGAAATTCTATGAAAATACGTTTTACTTTATTCAAAACCATCATTTTTAATATTTAACAGATATTTTAAATTATATACTAAACTTGCGGGCAGTATAGTTTGAGATTTGAAAATCCTTCAATGAGCCCGTATATATAGTTGTCATCGTAATTCGTTTCAAACTTGAGTAACGTCAATTAAGAAAATACCTTAAAAGAACAGAAAACCGCACTTCAACTCTCGAGTCAGATTTCGAAAAAGTTGCATAATCCATTTTGAATAAAATTTAATTCAAAAGTTATAAAACTGTAACCCCGATACTTGTAATTAAGTTAAGTTAAGACTAAAGACTTGAGTTAAGTTTTGACAAGCCCCGATAAAGTTATAGTGGCCGTATCATGGATTCTTCATTCTTTTATTCTTTATTCTTTCTTCACATAGTACACAACACGTAGCAATTTAATAATAAGATCAAAGAAATGACAGAAATTATTTCCCAGCAAATGCCCATAAAAGATAAACAGCAAAGCGGGCGACAATTGGACAAACAGAAAGGTGGTACATGATTTTATTAAATGATAATGGGATAGTGACAAAAAAAAACGTAATCTTAACAAATTCATAATATTATACTAGCGCCTTTATAAATTAGTATAATATATTAATATATATGGTATAAGTATAATATATAGGTATATATTATATTTATACGCGCCTAACAGCCCCAACATAATTGCGGAGTCAGACTTCAAACATATGCACTAACAAGCGAACTCTTTGGTTAAGTACTAGAGCATTTATTAAAATAAGTGTCTTCCGCCATGATGTCACATTTTGGTTACATGTCTGAATTTTTTATAGTCCAGGAACACCGTACATGTTAATTGCTTGGTTCGTGTCTCCCAGAACCAAATGTAAAAATTATGTCATTTATGAAAGAATAGATTACGTACAATAAGGGCTTTATTACAATTGTATTAAAAGTACAACGTATTACGCTGTGAAATAAAACTAACTGATGGCAAATAGGGATTGCTCGACATTATATCAGAAGTTTCATTTCTAAATACAATATATACTCGGCATTTACTATAACAAATTTAGACTCGCATATTGTCTCGTGCATCCAAGGAACCGACGACATTCCATACATGACAATAAACTAAGCAAAAGTTGAAGGTTTTCTTGGCAAGCGTAACGCACGTGGCAGCATATGAACAACCTTCTGAAATTTCGGGAATTTCATGAACCCTGACACATGTCGGGGCTTTTGACGTCAAGCCAAGTGGGATTAATATGTATGAATATCATACAAAAGTCCTATACATATGACTTATAGGACTAGTTTAGTCATATATGTCTATGTCACATAGACACACGTGTTACTAAACGCTCAAAAATTCTTCCTGCAGGTAAAAATAAACTTTACTTATTGATCAGGAATCAATTTAAATAATGGCTCATTGCTTTCTTCACAATTAATGTTCGTTATTAAAAACTATAGGAATGCACATTTCCGGATTACGATTTTCGAAGTTAGAATAAATGAGCAGATATTATGAAAACAAAATTTAAATTTACAAGCAAAATTTAAATTCACGAACAAAATTCAATTAGTTTGTTGACCAGAGAGAAGAAAGTAGAAATTGGTACCTAGGATATTTCGGACATTGTAGTACCTAGTACTGCAATATTGATTGATCAATACTGCAATGTTGATCAAATTGAATGGAGATTTACAAGTGAACGATCATTTTTATTGGAGTACATACGAACGGTCATGCAACGGTCAGCGACAGGGTAATTAGAAAGAATTAGAAGTCGAATAAAGCAGGTAAAAATAAAATAGGAAGAAAAGCAGCGTTGTGCACACCACAAATTAAACTATTAGATTCGTAAACAGGAAGAATAGTGTCACTGTACCCAACACGGAAAAGCCGTTAGATTCGTAAAAACTGCGCTCGAGTAGCGGCCAAGAATCTTGGACGCGACGAGGCGCTTCACAGGAAATCAACGTTGCCGGGGGCCTTAACCGCGACTTGCATTCTAATCTTACATTTATTTACAGTACACGACTTACATAGCAATAAAAACGAGAATAGAGGTGAGTTCTTCTCTAAACCGTCAATTATTCTAATTTTATAATATCGATCACCACATTAAATAAACTTCGTGTTTATTTCAGATAATTCATTTAACTCGGTCATACGTATTTTCATGAAAAATAATGTCTGCATGCGAGCCCCATTCGTATGTTTATTACGTTGAACTCGAAATACTTGCACAATTAAAAAAAACAGTTCGAAGGAATCGTCTTGTACTCTTTCTTGCTTGTTCGTGTCAACATTCCTCGTCCGATTGTTGAAAAGCTTCGGCTTAGGTTGAGGGACAACGTAGTGCGGTAGCAACACCACACTAACAGCAACACAGGCAGCATCACCACAAGCAGCAGACAGCACCAACACCAGCAACCGCACTAGTATCAGCAGCATCGCCAGCAGCAGCAGCATCACCACCATCACTACCACCACCATCACTACCACCACCACCACTACCACATTCCACCACCGCCACCACAACCAGCATTGACGCTGCCAAACTATGTCTATGAACATGACGCAAGACAAGCGACCATCGCTGAGGCAAGTCTATAGTTCTTAGCGTGCTCGCATGCGGAGGATTTAAAAATACCCTCTTGCACTCAGCATCTGACAGCCTATATCAAATATGGACAAAAAATATGAGATAATAGAAAAATATAGCAAGTGTTAGAGATGGATGCATTCTAGAAGATGTGGCAATAGATCAGGTAAAAATATGTAATGTTTATTTAATTTAACGCAACAATCGAAGAACAGATAAAATAGGAGCTGCGTTAAAGTAAAGTCTCGCTCCTGAATTGCCTGCGTGCAGAAATCTAGCCAAGCCGACCTCAATGAAGTCTTTTGTGTCACGCAAGACGTGATCTCAGGCCAAACGTCTTCCCGACAATGTAATTACTTTGATCTTGCCAAGCAAATTAGATTTTGTTTATATGCAAAGTTTTAACGATTCCAACATTTATGAGATTTCAAAGATTGGGCAGTCGAGTTTATATATCTTTTTTTTTATCAATAAAGTATCGTTACTCGTTATTTCACAGACTCAAATAATGAATTGCAAAGATAATGACACATAATGAAGGAAGCCCTCAGATCCTACGGAGGCAGGTCTAGTACATCATTAATACTTCTGACAAAGGAATTGAAGAACATTATTTCTATAGTTTGTGCCACGAATGGCTAATGATCGACACGACCCTAAAGATTGTCTAAAATTTAAGGGCTGATTAATAAGAGCTAATCTTTCAGGCAAATAACAAGAGAAAATTTCGATAAGCAAGCAAATCATTGAATACGTAATTTTTCTCCCGCTTATGAATTTACACTACAAGAGCCTAAACTTTATACGTGTTCCCCATTAAAAATACAAATTTAAAACTAACTCCACGATCACCAGGTGTACCCTGACGCAAAAATTTGAGCGGAACGCAATATTCTTTGAACATTGCCATGTAAATAGACACGTAAACGCCGGAGCAGAGACCAGCTTACTTGATATTACAGTGAAGTGTTTCTGCGGCTCCGGACCACAGAGGTCAATGACGGTGAATGAACTATCGGTGAATCAATGTCAGCGCGCTCGACCCTAAACGTCAGAACATCCATAGCTACTGCAGATGTGAATGTCATGGTGAAATTATTATTATTACTATTATTATTATTATTATTATTATTATTATTATTATTATTATTATTCTACGAAGCATTTATCGTGAAGTCTGGTTCAAACGAACTTCGAGGGCACGTCACAAAAAAGATTAATAGCAAGCGAAAAATAAGCAGACAAACCAAAATATGGAACTGATAAAATGCCTAAGCACTAGATTCATAGGCCTTACGAATTAGTTCCGTCTGAATTGAACGTATAAAACCTTTATATTTTATCCGATTTATAACCGGTTGCTATAATATTTTGAGGATAGTCGCATGCTCGGCAAAGGTAAAAAAATCATGTTATATGAAGAAGGGTTCTGTATATATGTATATATCCGCAGGAATCGAGGTCAACAAGCTCTACTGTTCACCGGTACCCTTTGCAGATTGCGTCAAGCAATGCAGGCCACAGCTTGCGCATTGATTGTTTTAGGCCATAAAAGGAAGCTCATCATACGATCAATAGTTGCGGACGCCTACAACGGCCCACGGCGTGCGAGCACCGGCGCCGCGTCATTAGTCATCAAGGAGAGCGCGCTTCCTTGAAATTCCTATGCAGGATTTGGGTCAGCTGGGCAGATAAGCTGTGCGCCAGTGATCTCGTTACGTGATTACTGGCTACGATAAGCACACCAACCAACCACTTGATGTGAACAAAGTTAACCTGGTGCTAATTAAGTGTATTTAAGCATCCACTGCTCAAATAAATAAGGTGAATGCTGTGTAACGAGGCAAATGTTTTTTGGTCTAGAAAAGAAAGGCTGGACCTGCGCATTTTTGGGTGCCCACCGAGGAGTCCATTTAGTTCCTGTATCAAGAGGTATACATCGGGACAGATAACATTTTGAAACGTAGTCTTTCGATCTACTAAATTATACCATAAAAACATGGCAAAATTATGAATCTTATTTGAATTACGAGTACCTACCTAGGTACTTACAATGCTGCGAAATGTTCCCGCAGTTATCAAAGTACAGTCATATCTCTACAGTTAACAAGGTAAAATTAGGACCAACATAAGGAATCCAATTACATTGAGATAAATAATAAGTTCCTACAATTCATATGCCAAATACTCACCAAAGACGTGTATCATGAATGACCCTAGGACCACCATCCACCCCCAGCCGCCATCGAGAGGCAGTACTTGGTCAGGAGGTGCAGGAGTCTCGTCCATCTCCTCTTCCCCAGCCGTTACGTACTCCCCTTCAGGAGGACGCTGGAAAATCCTCTTGGGTTTCATGGTGTCTTCCAGTCCGTCAGTCTCTGCCGACAGAGCGGCCGGCGTGGAGTTAGAGCTACGGTTCCTGACCACATCTTCGGGTTTCGGATGGTTGTTCAAACTCAATGAATTCGCGATGGGAACTGCTATGGTGTCTGACTTCCCGCCTGCATCTTGAGTGGCAGGAGAGTTCGAAACGGGATTTTCTGAGGCTAAAACAGCATCAGAAATTATTCTGGCTTCATTACTAACATCACATTTCGGGCTAATTTTTTGTGTAATTGAATCAGAGTTAGGCTTGACTGAATGCGTTAGAGTTGTAGCATCAACGGGCGTATCAGTTGTGCCAGCAGCAGATAACGTATCTATCTCAGGCGTATCTATAGCTGAGACGACAGGCGACGAGAACTCAAGTGGAACAACTGAGTTTGAAAGTTCGTCCTGAGAACCAGAAGACGTGGAGCTCTTGCGGCTGTCGTTATCATGTCGGGATTTTCGGCTCCTCGGTGAATCCTCTCTGGTGTCTGACGACGCAATGGCGTGCGGCTCAACGGACGAAGGCAGCTTTGACGACGACGAACTGTTCTCATTGCCACCTTCGGACTTAGTTTCGTCTTCTTCTGTGTTAACGGTCATGACGGATATTCAAGTAGATGCTCAATAAGAAGACGTGTTTCACGACAGCAAAACTTCGGAATTTCTATTCCTTATTATCGTTGATACAACGACCGAAAGGGCGTCGAAGAAACCACCAAGTACAATATTTCTCTTCAAAAAAGCTCAATGCGATGTGAAATTCAACGCCCAAACCGCAGGCATCATATGCTAACTAAGCTGAAGAAGTGAATAACTAACTTCTGGGTATTTTTAAGGTACCTAGTCAAAAGGCTTAAGAAGTGTGCGATGAAGGCAAAGATTGTTTAAGGCACATTGAGACTTAGAGTATATGTAGAGTATAGGACTCGGTATCACAAATTGAACGGAATGTAAGCTCAGCCTTAGGTAGACGCAGGCTCATTCAAGGTTAAGGAAAAATCCTGACTTACGACGAAAAAATAACTAAATAACAGCTATCTGTTTATGTCTGAATTGGATAGCATTTCGCACGAAGTCCATGCGACACTAAGATGCATTAAATCTGTATTCGCATGTAAAGTACAAAACCTGTAAGTAGAAAAGACAGTTGAGTTTACTTACACAAAATTTGGCTATAAATCAGTATTAAAGCCAAGGCCTTGATCATATTCTAATCAGCCATAAATTTCAACAGCGTCGACATTATTCAAACGTTTTTCGTCAAGCGAAGCAACAAATAAAACAGGACTTCATAATAATAAAAAACATAATAAAACAATTAAAGAGGGCTTAATAATAAAACAGGACTGGCACGACATTGATGCGTCGTGCCAGCTCTGAAATAGAAACGGTAGCCTGCATTAATTTCTCATTATTACACAAGGTTATTAATATCTTCACACTAAAGAAATGCAATGTGTCCAGTTAAGGACTGAAATAGAATAGGATCATCTTTCGAAATAATTTAAACTATATTAATATCAGAAGTGTATATAGCCATCAGAGTTCCTTATTACGTACCAGTTCGAGAACGTATCTATGTTTATCAACGTCAACACAGAGCGCTACGATGTTATGCAATTAGCGTATTTATGATACGATACCGAGTCAGCATTCAATTAGGTTCATGGTCACTATAGGAGGGCGCGACAACTCAACAAGCGCTGGAGTGTCAACACTGCCTAAACGCATTTGCGACACCAACAACCACGCGAAATATCAACCAGAAATTCAAGTCTAATCTAGCAATAAAGGACAGGCACAGCTATCGAGGACAAATATTGATCCTGCAACTCAAGCGGATTACAAAGTTCAAGCTATAGGATATTCCGCTACCTTTATACTGAGACTTGCTTTCTTTCATGAAATATGCAGCGAGTTACTTGCATGATTTGTGAACCAAGTGAAGCAATGGTACAACATAGCAGTGCATATGGATAGGTGTAGCCTGAGTGCGGTTCAAAGTTCAATCATTAACTTCTAAATATATACGGAAATGCTGACTGTAGAGAGTATTGCCGCTCTAAAATGTAGTATATGTAATGGTCGAAAGAACAACTTGTTTACGCGTGCATAGAAAAAGCTGTACAATCGTCTTGCTTCATGAACTAATAATTTTTTCAGATAACATTTTGTTTGTTATCTTTATATTTCATGAACTAACAAGTTCTTGAATGTAATTTACTTCAATAGATATATATTATGTGATCAGACGGTCTTATCAAGGTATTTCTCAGTAATGCGAGGAGCTAGAGGCTCCTCGACAGGCGAATAGATATCAATAAACAAAATCAAAATATCCAAATAAGCTACTTCAACGAGTGCCACTCGTAATGCACCGGAAGAAAACTCACAATTATACAGTAAGAACGATGATGAAGTAACCGGTCTCCTGGTAAAAGAAGATCAAGTACGGGAAAGAGAAAGTGATACAAGTTTGAATATTTTCAGTTGTGACTTGTCGTCCTTTTTAGCGCATTTTTTCATTTATGGAAAAAAATGCGCTATTGTGCTCGTCATGTCCGTCCGTCCGTCAGTCCGTGACTTCACGGACGGACGAGAAAATGCGCTCTCTTTCACTCCCTGCAGTGAGTACTGATCTAATTCTTTAGAATAGTATTTCACAACGAAAGATAAATAACATTTTACAACAATTCGTTGTCTATGTATTCTTAGCCTACTTGCGATGCTATTACTGCAACTCTACAGTTGTAAAACATTGCTGAGTTAGTTAACATTCACATGCGAGTGCATGTAGCACTTACTTATTAGAAAATCCAATCTCGCTCAAGCACATGCAACTCGTGTATATATACATAATATTGGCATGCAATGCATGCGTTATAAATGCATAGCATGTATATCGATAATTATACATATGTGCAAACTTGCGGTACACAACGATTGATGACGGTGACAACTTTCACTGCTCATTTTTGTTAAATCCATATATGATAGCCCATAGTTTTCAATAAACTAAATATCCAAAAAAGCTACTTTAACGAGTGCCACTCTTAATGTACAGGAAGCAAACTCTCACAATTATACAGTAAGAACAATGATGAAATAACCGGTCTCCTAGTAAAGGAAGATCAAGTACAGGAAGGAGAAGATGATATAAGTTAGAATATTTTCAGTTGTGACTTGCAGTCCTTTTTTAGAATAGTGTTTCACAACGAAAGATATCAAATATATTACAACAATTCATTGTCTATGTATTCTTAGCCTTCTTGCGAAGCTATTACTGTAACTCTATAGTTGTAAAACATTGTTGAGTTAGTTACCATATAGACATGCGAGTGCATGTGGTACTTAATCACCAGAAAATCCCATCACGCTCAAGCACATACAACTCGATTATATATATACGTAATATTGACATGTAATGCATGTGTTATAAATGCATAACATGTATATCGATAGTCGATATGTGCAAACTTGCGGTACACAACGATTGATGACGGCGACAACATTCACTGCTCATTTTTGTTAAATCCATATATGATAGCCCACCATCTGTATTGAATTATCACACTGCATTGCGATTAAAAGTGCCTGGCATCAGTATGGAAATTAATTGCATTAAAAGTTTGTGATCGAAGTTGGCTATAGAAGCGCACGTTTAACACAACCCTGTCGTTATCCACGTCCACTATCAGTAATCGTCAAACAAAATTAAACTCTGGAGACCAAAGTTTTATGGCACGGAACGTGTTTACATTGCACGTTTGCTCAAGCGAAATATCGCATGTATATACTTCTCATGAAACGATACTGATCCAGAGCTATGTCAATACCTACGCACTGAACGGTCGTTAACGACACGCAATACGAGTGCCAGCACTCCTCGCAATACACTCCCCATATCGAAGCTATCTAACTACGCACACAAACTGGATCACGTGTCACTAGAGTTGATCGATCAATGGAAAGTTGTAGTTCATTCAGGAGATGGCTTCGGTTGCATGATAGAAAGCGATAACGAAAGAGGTCAAGGCTGTGAGAGGCAGTGTATCTGCGCAATTTTCAAGTCCATCGCAAGCCCATAGCTTGCATATACACTTGGCACAAAGCTCTGTTGGCGGCCAAAATAAGCTGACACGGGCCTAAACATAATATGGACATAGAATAAGACCTTGCTGGCGTCGCTACAGGAAACGATGATCTTGCTCAAATGTTTGTATGGTAATAAAATATAGTATATAGTATAAAAGTGCGCTTTTCTAGCCTATCCGAGATAGAGGAGGTCTTGCTCGAATATTCGAGATTGCAATCGACATCACCATCACCACCAAAGGCAAAGGTCGTCGTCACCACCTTTTTTTGCCAGCGTAGGTCGTCGATCTCGATGCAGTGTTCGTCGGAGTATTGTAGCAAACAACAGATATATTTTAGAACCCCCTTTATTTTTAACTCCCTGATCTAGTTTAAAATTTTATTCAATATCTTAATGATAATGCCGGTGTCCATAAAACTTTGCTGATCAGTCAAAAGTAAAGAGACTAAGGTTACAAGCAAATCTGTGTTGAGTGTGACCGCGATGTGTGCAACCCACACAATCATCACAAGACAAGCGGCAAGTTCGATTGCACCAAGATGATAGCGTGCATTGTTCATACGCTTCACATTAACATATCACATAAATATAAACAATACCCTGCTGATGAATTGTGTTCACCTAATTTAATGAATGTTTAATATTAATTATAACATATGCATATATAATATAACGGAACTTATTCATGGTTGTCAACCGGCATATGATATTGGCGTGAGACACGGTCACGGAGTCTAGCGTTGAGCGAGCGCGGCCACACACACACACAAAGGACATCCGTCGCTTAGCAGTAGACGGAGGCTAAATGTCACCTCAGAGACTAGTTAGAAAACTATGAGACAGCGCTTGTAACACTTTTATAGGATAAATGAGAGACAATTAAACTTTATACAAAATGGATATGAAAACTATATCACTTCATCAGTTGATGTTATGTAACTGGTTAATATTACATATCAGATCATTTCATGGTCATTCAGGGTGAAAAAGCACTCCTAATTATCATAGCGCTCTCATATTATCAGTAACGCGCATCACAAGTGGGGAAACAAAATTAGATTCACGTCAACGAGGCCTCCTTTATCAGTGACGATCGAGCACCATTAACCTTCATAACATCTTGTTACGGATTCAGCCACTCCAAAGATGATTCCACCTTCAATGAGATATTATAATAAAAAATATAAATAAACGCTTCTGGCCAATGCAGTTCATCGCACATCCTAGACAACAACGACTGGACACGTCTCAAGCTCCTCCATCCGCCCCTTTCAATAAAATAAACGAGCTATACCTAGAAACTACCCAAGAAAAATGGAAGACTTCACTGTTGAATTTTAAACCCTAGGGAGTTGTGTTGAGTGAAGTGCAGCAGCTCTGCGTCATTCACTGCAGCGACGGCAGCAGCTCAATGCGGCTGCCGTTGCTCACGAGATTCTCCTCAGAAGCAGGACCTGAGTTATGTAGTGATTGGAAGCAAGACCGTTCCCTTTGGACATAACTCTGACAGCAATAACTTCCGTACAATAGTTTCATAAGCCCGATGATCGTTTTCTCATCATTTGTGCTGGTCATGCTGTGAGAGTTAATTAGCCTAATTGATGTGGTTAGGTCGTAGTATCCAAACGACGCGTTGCTTACATCGTGGCAGAGCTCTCACCTAACTAGAGTCTACGTAGTTCTGAACTTCTGGCTATGAAGCGCTATTTAATACTGCCCCAAGGAAAGCTTCGCCTCCACTTAATCTGAGACACCCTAGAAAATTTTTCTAAATGCTAACATAGTCAAATGTCTCTACAAATGAAAACTATGCTAAACTAATAGAAACTAACAAATATTACTGATAAATATACAATGCAAAGTGCAAACTATAGGGTGAACATTTCGTGGCAGTACGGTGGCACCTTTTATACCTCGCAGACAGAACTGCCCACAGCCCACTCAACTAACCTACTGTTACTCACTACTCTGATAATTCAATCCATATTAATTCAACAGGCAGAAACGAGACCATGAGCTGACTTTAATTCAC